ATAGAACTGACTGCCTTGACGTTCGTATTGAAGATTGTGACTTTGATATTGGTTGAAATTTGTTTTGAGTTCCATATAAACTTCAATTGTACGAATGCGACCCTTACTTTGCCAATCCTCACATTTACGTTTGCATCCGATCCTCCTTGTTCATCGATGATACTTCCCAGTTATGTGAAGGATTCTACATGTTCCAGAATTTCGCCATCAAGTGTGATTGGATTGCTGTTCTCCGTGTTGTATTTGAGGATGTTGGTTTTCCCGTTGTGTATGTTGAGACCCACTGATGCAGATACTGCTGCTACACTGTTTGTCTTTATCTGCATTTGTTCATGTGTATGCGATATGAGGGCTAGGTGATCTGCGAAGTCTGAATCGTCCAATTGGTTGTGAGCTGTCCATTGTATTCCGCGTTTTCCCTCAGATGTCAAGGTCTTCATAATCCAGTCGACCACCAGAAGAAGGAGGTAGGGAGAGAGTAGACAGCCTTGTCTGACTCCGGTCCTCACTTGGAATGCATCTGTCAGCTGTCCTTGATGCACGACCTTGCACTGTGGTCCGTCGTATGAGTTCTGGATAATATTGACAATCTTCTCAGGAACTCTATATTGTCGAAGAAGTTTCCATTATGTTTCCCTATCCACACTGTCAAATGCCTTTTCATAATCAATGAATTTGATGTATAGTGATGAGTTCCACGCAATTGATTGTTCAACGATGATCCATAGTGTCGCAATTAAGTCTGTGCTCGACCGATCCTTACGGAATCTAGCTTGTTGATCTCGAATTTGGGCGTCTACTGCATCTTTCATCCGGTTCAGCAAAACTCTGTAAAAAACTCGGCTTTCACCATGAAGCGTCATAAGTCTTCCAAATGATGACCTTCTAACTTCCAGGGCAGAGTTTAAATGGGATGGGGACGCTAACCACATGCCCAAGCCTCCTCCTTTACCCGAGCTTGGGACCGGCAGTAACTCTGAAAGAGCTACAGAAGGAGTTTTACTAACAATCGTTACCATATATTACATATAGTATATGAGTGTTAAATCGTCAAGTAAATGATTCTGAATGCAAAATAGAAGTTACTTGTAAGTTTTTACAGGTTTTTAGTTTATATGTATGCTACATGTTCGGTCATTTTACAACTTAATATTTAGTCAGCACGCTTATAAAAAATCAATTTCCTGTTATAAAATTTCGCAATTTTCTTTCCTCCATTTCAAACGTCGTTTTTGTTAGTTCGTTCCACTCATTTAATACATTCTTAATTGCCTGTCCCCGAAAAAGTGTCTATATTACCCTATCATTCAGAAGTGGCTCAACTAGTCATATACTGAGATGAGGACTTAAACTAGATATCATTAAGACGTTTTATGCAGTCCAACTCATCACTATCAAAAAATCAAGGTCTATGTTTCACGAAACACACAAACAGCATGCTCACGATTGTCACATCTCATTCAGTCAATCAGTTTACATGTATGGGCCGAAATACATACATACGAGGAGCGGTCATGATTTGCAAATAAAGCTGGATAAACACAAGCCCAAATAGCTACGAAGTCAAATGAACTCCAGTAGTCAGATAAGATCACAGTATCGACAAATATCTTTCTCCTAGTGAAAAAAATTGATTGAGGCCGGTAATAAGATAAATATGAAATAGGGTTATTCAATATTATCCATGGGTATCTAACAAGGTTTATGGAAACCTTGGCTATACTAGAACTGAAATTCTCTTTATTTATTCCAAAACAATTTGTTCTTACCCTTAACCTACTCCAGTAATACTGAATAATTATCCAGCATGGTTTCTGCATTACGTACCTTATCATTATCTTTGTTTCCCCCACCTTTAAATTTTTGTAGTTGACCTTTGGATTTTATATATACATATTGCCTCAACAATTATGTGTGTGATCAGGTTTTTCGAAATGTATTTTGCACTTATGTCACATAATTCTGATAAAGTTCATTTTTTCATTGCATTTGTTTTACGTTACAATTAGAACAGTTATTTATTGTACAGGGTAACGGATTAAAAATTCCAAAATTAAAGAGGTTATTTACTAACATAGAACTCTTTGAGTAGGAATTATTACATTTCAAGTCCTGTTTAAATCTATTAAACTACTAGAAATGTTATTGATATACCAAATCACAACAGGTTGTTTAATTGTAGTATTGTCATTCGACAAACCTATACATTTAGATGGTATATTTTAGAATCATTCATTATTTTCTTAAAATATTGATTAATATTATTGCTTTACTTGGTTAAATATTCACTATGCAATACGCAACTATGTTATAATTCCCAGTAAAAATGCTTATATTTATATGATTTAATTAAACAAATATACTTTATTTAAGAAGATTAAGTGAACAGGTGTAGCTCTTTGTATTAACATCAAGATAAATTGTTTTGTATTATAATAAATAATAATACTTGTTAACTATTTTAACATGACTTTCTCTATTGGTTCAACTAAATATAACTTTTGTTAGAAATAGAAAGCATAGAATAATATTTAGTGTTTAACTATCATGTATTATGTACAGATGGTATGCAATCCTATATCTCTTTGTTGTTTTATTGAATTTTTATTGGTGAAAATTACATTTTACTTACCATTACCTTATATATATGTCTAAGTTTATTCTTAAAAATGTGTATCTATTACAATGAAGATTAACTTTACAACATATTATCCATCTGTAATTAGAAAATTCAATTTTCATTTCGAAAGTTCATTTTCATAATGAATTCATGAAGATAGTATTATAAATTCAAGAAGCATTGTTCTCATGCTTTTAAACTTTTGTAAGGTATTGTTTTACAACTATTATTATATTTATAAAACCATGTAGATATTTAATAAAGCATAAACTGTTAAGAATATGTAGTTGTTATGTTATATCTTATATCATCTACAGGACAAAATGTTTTAATTTTCATGTAAAATTAACCCATAACCTAATAGTATTATTGAAGCAATCCGGTTAGGATGGTAAGATACCAAGAAAGACTGATCATTTGAAGTCTATAATATCAAAAATAGTTCATTTTAAACTTTTACGAGAGATATTATTAGCTTATTTTGAATTTTATCTACTCATGTATTTCGTTTGTTTTCAAGAAAATATGTGAAGTTTTACTAAAATCACCTTTCAGAATAAATATTTCCTGTTTTCATTTCAATCAGTTAACTAAATTGATAATCAAAGTCTTTTGAATTTTAGAATTTCTTTTGCAAAAAAGTTGAAACTAATAACTATTTCAGAAGGGGTTTTGTGGATATTATAGTAATTGACATCATAAGTCAATTGAAGTTAGACCACCGTGGAAAACCTGGAAGCACTGGACGGCCGTTTCGTCCTAGTTGGATGCCGGCCCAGTTGTCTAGACGTTAAATGTTCGCGTGCGAGACCGACAGATCCTGGGTTTAAATCTCGCAAGGCGGGGTCGTGAATATGCACTGTTGAGGTGTCCCATACTAGAATGAAATGGCCGTCCAGTGCTCCCATGTTTTCTATGGTGGTCTAGCTTCAATCAACTTATGATCTTAACTATTAAAATAATTATTATTTATAATTTATTATTTTCTTTTATTTAATTTAGTTATTCAACCGCAAATTTTTATATCGTATAGACTTGAATACGAAAACCGTTTAATATCTTCTTTTTTACTTTTTCAAAATTTACTTATTCGAAAAGTAACTGGAGAATTGTAGCGTATGATAAATATGAAAAGAATAAAATAGGTCAATGGTTAACATCAAAAACTTCTCTTAAGTATAGTATTGATAATATCACATTCTGAAATTTACGGTTAACACATGAACGTATACAGTTATATAGCAATGTTTCAGTCAATAAGCTTTGATTTTGTTTCTCAAATATTTATAGTCTCTCAACATTTTATGTGCAAACTTAGTTGCAAAATCATTTAAACGAGCTATATTCTAACATTGCATAACTATTCATTATTGTACTGTAGAAGTTTTATAAAACATTTATTCCGTATTGAAAAATATTTTAAATCACGGTTGGCAAAATATTATGTGATATTAGTCCATTTATTTGAACATATAAACATAGGTACAAGGAGGCACTAAATACATATGCGCCACACAATAACAGTGAAGCCAGTAGTAGTTATCATTGATCTGTGTGAGGGCTGTCATACTGCCCAGGTGCCCAGACCGAAGCAAGTGATTTCCTTATGGGGCCTCAACTGGGGCCTCTGACCTAAAGGCCCAATCCATAAGGCAATGGAGCGACGTCAGTAGATAAAGTCCCATGGTAGTCGTTGAGCAACGATTGGTTCTTACGCCATTCGTGCCTTCAGGGTCCTGGAGCTCATGTGCACCATTGGTTTGGAGTCAGGGTTTTCCAACTCCCCTAGGTGGATCCACATTATCCACTAACCCAGTTCAAGCTCCGGATATTCGTTTTTCGTCCTCTCAAAGCCTTAAAAAAACACCTCGTCACGAGAAGGGAGTGAGTAGGACTTACCCGACAGTGAGTGTATACGCGTAGCCATGTGAGAGCAGACTATCCTAATCGTCATTTGTACCAGGGCATTTGAGAACAAAAGTGTGGTTCGTCCCGAGTCCAATACTTTATCACTTATTATCATGAATCTGTTTTACTTGAAAAAAATTATTTCATCCGTTAAATCGTAAGGCATTCACCTACTGATAGTTAGCTGTTAGTGATTTAATTAACAATCACATATATAGTTTTTATAAGTCTCATTACAACTAAAGATTCACTGTTTCTAGTAAACGGGTTGATAATTAAGATAATGTTAGATTATGATGATAGTTTGTAAAGTGCTTCCAGATTACATTTTATACAAAGATTTAAAACGAGTAAGTTAGAATAATCGGATTAATGGAAATCCATGATTGTACTTTACTTATAGTGCCACGTTTTTCCATAAAAGATAATCACGTTTTCTATTTCTTATTGAAAATCTACTTCTTTATTTTAGGTATTTGGAAAATCATTACAGCTGAGTAGAATTGAAGTAAATTATTCCACTAGCTTGGTGTTATTAAATAGAAAGTATCCATCGTTCACTAACTGGATTGGTTGTGAATTCACATAATGAGCAGAACTAAATGAAATAATTCGTTTTACAAAAGTTTTGCATTCCCAATAAGAAGAAATGGTGATACAATCATATACTGGTGTATAAATCCCCGTGATATCTGCTCCAAATTACTGTGGTCGTATAAAATCTTTCAGATATCTGTAATATATTAAACCGAGAAATTCACTTTTATGCACTCACCAGTACGAAAACTGGCAGTAATTATAAAGAAATATTGTACCGAACTTATTTACCCTTTTCATTCTCCAACTACCTCAATAGCGTTCGCAACGACTCATATAGTCATATACATAGTTGCTTTCGTCTACATCAGTCTTTCTATTCATGTTTTTAGAAAATAATATTTCACAATAATTCACTCAGATGGGAATGGTAACAAATCATTGTCTGTAATACAACACATTCATTCCAATGCTTATTATATCTGATTAGAACATGAATTTCTTTAACACATACACAGTTATTTGTGTTGTGACGGACGGTGTCCGAAATTCGATAATGATACTACTCGCTAACCCCCAACTGATTACTTAAGTAAGAACACGAGAGTAATTGAGAAAGTGTACTGGACTATCGAATAAAAATGCATAAATACTCATTTATATAAATACTACTCTATCTTTAGGAAATTGACATACTAACCCCAATGAAATGCACTTGACCTTTGGATCACTTCTGACTGACATCGACCGTTTATTACTTTCGATTGGCTCTCCATATCAATTTATGTACAGAAATAATTTAATTTTGAATTTTAATTGTAAAATATTTTATGATTTCAATGATTAGGTGTTCTGCTGAAACTTTTTCTCTTCTCTTTGATCAGTGTTTCTCTCTCTCTCTCTCTCTCTCGCTGTTTCTTATCCATGAAACTATATATATATATACTTTTTAAAAAAAGTAGTATCTCTGTCAGTCGTACCATTCTGTTCATTTTAGTTTACTGTTAAACATTTATTCCTTTATTTCTTTTATTTTTGCAATTTTAATTTTGTTACAAAATAATGCAAAGTATAATAGATACGACGAAATTATCGCATAATTCATAAACATAATTCAAGATATTTAGATCAATTATCAATTTTAATTAGGATACTAATTAAAACTTGATCAATGAATATGAATGATAAATGCAAATAAGAAGAAAGTTAAATTATTATTGTATTATATTATATTTAAAATGTGATCTATTATGAAACATAGAAGACTAAATGAATTTTATTCGTCTGAAATATATCAAGTTTTAAACATTCTTTCATGTTAATTGTATTGACCTACAAACAAATATTCATGTATATAGATATTTCTATTTGAGATCTTCATAAATTCTTTCATTCTTCTATATTCATCTTTATGTCGATAAGTTTATACACCCGTTACTATCTTATAAATTATTATCTTTATATTTAATATATTAGTCAAATACTAATAAAGATGTATCATTCAATATTTTCACCTTATAATAACTGATATTTTACGGTTAAATATTGTTCATTAAAATATGAATCAAGTATAAATTCATATAATTATAAGATAAAAGAAATAATATCTGTTACATATTGTATAACAAATCAGATAAATCTATAAAATGTACCATCACCATCACTACTACTACTACTACTACTACTACTACCCCCTTAGATATTTTTTACAATAATCTATATAAATGAATAAAAGTTTAACAATTCAGTCTTTCCTTCTTGTTTAAATTCATATGAAAATTTTGTTTTTATCATAAATGATAAAGAGAAATTTATTCATTTAATATCAGTCAATCATAATCAATATAGATCTTGATTTAGCTCATATTACCTTTCTACATCATTATACATATCAATTGTGTAATATTTCAATGTAAATATTTTTTTTATTTATTTCCAGTACATTGTTTGGCAAAAAAGTTAATTTATACTAGAATTATATACTTAAGTATAATCAAGATTTAAGTTAAGTAGCATTTGAACAATTGAAATATGTAGTTTCAAATGATCAAACGTCAAGGTTCATTTGTGAAGAATAAAGTGTAAATTTAAGGATAATTTTTTTCAATGCAAGATTTATAATTCATAAAGAATGGTTATGAAAAAGAAATGTAATGACATCAAGTAAGATATGATGGATAGTGGCTAGCATTAGAATCCAGGACTCGTGTTTCGTCCTACTTGGGACTCGTCAGCTGGATGTACCTGCATCTCAGAGTTGATGTTCCCTCTGGGACTCGAACCCAAATAGAACGAAACGCGCGTCCTGGATTCCACTGCTAGCCACTATCCATCATTGCTTACAAAAAGCTTGTGAATGAGGGCGATATCGAGGCATACGCACAGTATGCACATATGCCAATAACAGTCTGATCAATTGCAGTCTTAAACCTCAATGGGAAGATACAAGCCAAACAATACCAAATGAATCAAGTAAGATAATTCAAAATGAATGTACCGAAATTGAATATATGAATATATATAAGAAATACGTCTATTTTTTTGTTTGAAAATTCACAAGAAACAGCTTGACATATAAAATGATATGTTTGGTGATTCGTTACTTTGTCTATGGTTCACTTAAGAATTTCTTTTTGCTGTCACGTTTTTTTTTAGTCAGAACATTAAGTAACCTTCATTTTCTCGTTACTCCACGTTACAGGTATATATCTATTTGAAAAAAAGCCCAAGTTTCTAGCAATGTAAACTACGTTGATCTATTCATTAAAGCTATGAATAAAATCTGGAATGAATTTTGATTGAATATAATTTATTTTTATTTTTCATAAACTTAGAATATTGAACTTGTTTATTTTCCCGAATTTCCTGATTAACAAATGCTGTGATATGTATTTTAGCATGGATGAAGTTGCATACATTAACATTGACGGTTTAGAATTTAATTTCGGCGCATAATATATATATGCTTTTGGGTTACTTCACAAACTCGAGCAAAACAGGAAGGGCGATATTTGCAGAATACGATGGATCCATTGTATTTCCTTTTTTTCTCTTCATCTATACATAAGCTTATATGATTATCGTTTCTAAATATTAACGATAGTAATGACATCATTGATGCGCAGTCTTTTAGGATCTGTCCTTGATGATATATTTGTTGAAAACTTGGATTGAACAGAATTAATACCTATCCTCAAGGTGACTGTACTTCAATTTGTCAAGTGCACGCACATCGACAACGATTTCCGAGTAGATAGTGTTTAAACTTTCACAGATTTTCCACCTGAAGCTATCAAAATGGGTTGATAAAAACTCTTTTACACATAGAAGGAAAGTCATATTCACCAGGAAAGCTCAACTAGATGTATACTCTTCTTAATGATTGTCTGCCATAAAATCAACGCCCTAATCATTCGTAAAGAAATGTAATATTGAACGCCGAAATAAGATGTATGAGTGTGAACCCAAAATACGAAAGCTATTACTCTTGTATTATTCAAAGATAGATAAATAGTGAATGAACTTCGTTGAAAATTGAAAAGAGCTCTTAAAAACATACTCTTCACTGACACTTTGAATCCATTAGACACAATATTGCTCAATGACAAAGACAAAAGTAGATGAAACTACTCCAATTGCATATATCAATTAACATATATACAAAAAAGGATGAACATTAGAAAGACAATAAGGTGGACTTCTATTCATTTCAGTGATAATGTTCCAAATAACCTACGCCTTTGAAGAGGATTTTGTTTATGCAGTTCGGTAGCACCTCATCTCCTGGATATTGGCACAATATGCATTCAGCGAATTCTTTAAAATTTATCTATTGACAACTCGAATCCTCGTTACTTAATTTTCCAGAAGCCGTGACTACTAAATAACTTAAAACTTACATTCAAATTCAAAGAGTCAGAAGTTAACTATAAGCTGCCTCGGTAACATTTTGAAATTTCTTTTCTCTATTTTGTTGTAGTGATAATCCAATGAGTCGGGATTATAATTTCTCTTTCCTTTCCCAACTTCCAAACATTTTGTTATATCAGATGATAAAATTATCACAATATCCTAGAACTACCATCTAGTCAATTATAAAAAGAACTCAGTTTTAGAAATACATTACGCACAACTTATTTGTTGTTAATTAACAATTCACTTTTTAAGATTATGTTAATAATTAGAAATAATTAACCATATTAGATTGTATGGAGCTGAAGTGAAAGGACCGATGCACGATGAACTCATCATAATCTACAAACATGGTCGTCTCGAATTCATATATATATATATATATATATATATATATATATATATATATATATAAGAATGGTGTTGAACTTGTAGTGTCAGTTATTATGCCAAGCCCATATACCTTATTCTAGCTTTCGGACATCCCATTCTATTAATTTTACTTGAGCCATACTTTGGCCTTGTTATTAATTCGCTTATCAATCTAGACTGTTTTTATATGAGCGTATATGTGTGTGCCCTTCTTATTCCATTAATCACATGTCTGTAGCTTTATTTTGTCTGACTATAAATATTGAGTAGCACTTGACAAAGATGGAGTTGGCTTCCCAGACATCTTCCCTGCGTGTCATTTTGCTCTACTCTTTTATTCGCTTCATATTCGAAATATATGTATTCTCACGTCGATTCTCGTTATTCGACTTATTTAATTCCGTTATTGGATAATGCGATTTAAGTCGACGATGATATACGAGAATAGGCGATAACAAATATTCGTACAATCTAAAATGGAGTCAGATCCACGGGCCACTAAGATGGTGAGCCCTTCAACGAATATCGTCAACCTAAATGATGACAAAATTAAATTACGGGCCTCCACAAACTTATGTGTTCTTATTTTTCACTAATTCTGCGTATCCGTCGGTTCATGTGTAATGCATTAGACTTTTAAATTCTTAGGTGTAACCTCAAAATGGGGTTCAACATC